GGTGTTCTTGAGGTGAGACGAGGCGGGGCGAGGCGCGGCCGACGGTGCGGCAGGCAGCTAGGGGGTACCCGTTCCATCATTCCTGCTGCTCTGGCTCAACCATAGATCATGAAGACAGTACTAAGGAATTTAATGTACTAATGTAGTCCGTTTGAGTACTACATACATGCAGTCTGGTGGGTTTTCTACAGACCGATGTTCGAGTCGTTGTCGCGCGCTGGTGTTGGAGCTGAGCCGGGCCGGGCGCTGCTTGGCGGGCGCGCGCGTAGGCCGCTCCGTGGCGCGGAGGCTGGCCGGGAGGCCTACCCCCGACTTCGCAGGCGCCCTGCCTCGACCTGCTAGCAGAGAGGCCTCAACCGGGCTGACTCGTGCGGGCTCCTCTCGCCCGGCCTGCTCAGTCAGTCAGAGCTGCGTCCAGACAAGAGGGTCACTTGGGTCGTTTGGGTCGCTGTGGGGTCTCTGAGTCTGCGCCCAATCGCCCGAGCGAATGACCAAGTGACCCTCTTGTCTGGAAGCAGCACAGATTGTTGCAGCGGTAGTCTGCTACGACGGAACCGCCGTCCGGTACCGGTAGGCTTCGACCAAAAGTCTTCCGGCGCGTCTTTGCAAAGCAAGGGAGGCCGCATGAGTTCGCCCGAGCCCGCCCGCACCAGCCCGTCCGTCCCGGCAGCCAATGAGAGAGGGCGATTCTAGCGCAGAATCGGCAGAACTCAGGCAGCCCGCCGGAGCCCGCGGCGGGCTGGGGGGTGCTCAGGAACAAAGTGATCGAATAGAACAAATGAACGAACGAGGTGCGGGCTCGAGCTCTGGGAGGCGGGCGGGCGGGCTCCGGCGAGCTCATACTCATCGACTCACGCGCTGCAAGCCGGTAGCCGGTCCGCGTCAGCCCGTTTGAGGCCTCTGCCTGCTGGTTGTTCAGTCAGCACCAGAAGAGGTCTGCGTCGGACGGTCCACCAGTTCCGGAAGCGTCCGAGAGCGGCAGGTGCCAGTGAGATGCTCGAGCTTCGCCATAGCCCCATCTCCCTCGCACATGTTGCTTTTCGTGCGATCCCGAGACTGGTGGACTGGCCGACGCGGCTCTCGGGTCGTCCGGGGCAGTACAGTTGCTGGACATAGACACCCCTGACTTCCAGTGTATGTTTGCTCGGTTCGAGCTGTCGAAGCTGACCATTTCTTCAAACAAAGCGCTCTTAATTGAAGATTGACGCTCATCCGCAGCACAAATCCTCCGACTTTCGAACTGAATACGGCCTTAACCCTTCTCTCCTTTTCCGCCCCCTCGCCGCCCGTCCGGCACGACAAGGGGCTGGCGCGCACCTTGTTCAAACACACGAGCTCCACCCGCTCGCAGCTCAGCCCCCGCCTCCCCCGCGACTCTCTGCTCCGCTTTCAGTGAAACGCTCCGCTATAGCTTCGACTCTGCAAACGGTTTAGGCCGGGCGGGGCCGGTTTAGGCCGCTCGAGTTACCGCTCGGTCTTGGCATGCCATTCCTCGCGGCCCTGCCCTGCCAGGCTCTAAGAGCCAGGCCCTTTTGATCCGATCCTGTTGTTCTGAACCTGTCCGACCAGGATGCGCTGTCTGCCGGTGCTGTCCCTCTGCGCGGTGTTCGCGGCGGTGCTGCTGGCGACCGGGGCGCCCCGCGGGGCCCAGGGGATGGCGCTGCCCCAGTGCCACCCCTCCGTGCTGCAGACGGGCTCGGACCGCATCCGCAAGGTGTGCGCCGCGCTGTCCACCATGTACGAGCTGTCCAGCGCCATGGAGTCGTACCTGGACGACAAGGGGACGCTGCAGAGTGAGTCCGAAGGTACAGTGCTTGCACTCCCACCGAGGGGTCCTTCACTCAGTGTACACCCTTAGAAAAATTCATGAAAAAAATCATGAAAAATTAAAAGAGTCAGAAAAAAATCACAAAAAATCAAGAAAAACAGAAAAATCGGTGTACGCGACAATTTATAGTTAAGGACCCCTCGACTCCCACCCCTGCAGGCTGGCACAAATCATTTTAAGGATGTTGCTGAACGTTCACGAAATAACGTTCTGGAAATGTTCTTGGAAGGTTTGGTGCTACAAGGGACGAGACCCTCGCAACTCAGTACGCACCATCCCAGTTCGTGTGGGCTGCAAGCCCGTCTTCATTTTGAAAATATATTTCAATATACCAATAGAGTTCGATGGCCCACAAATTGATGTTTTTCAAGTATATGATCAAAGGGTGATGATGTTTCTTTCCCTGCTCTAGTGTTACGGGAGAACGCCCCACTTGTCGACAGCGGAGTGAAGAGGCAAGACGTGGACCACGTCTTCCTGAGGTTCGGCCGCCGTCGCTAAGTCCTGGGCCACTACACCAAGCGGCTCGCCGAGCGGCGCGGTAGTCTTCAGCCGCCTTCTGTTGTCTCTACAAAGTATTGTTTTCGACTGGCCCCGTGGATCGTTGTAGAAAGTCAATTTTTTGTTATCCGAAACTGATGCCGATGTCTTGAGATCATTTCCAGATCTTTCATCACTGTCCCCAATTTACTTACCGCTCTCTCATGTAATCTCTTTGAGGCTGTCCGAAAAGAACTGTTGCAGCTTGGAGTGATGGTCATGGACCCACCCCATCACTCTAAGCTACTACTTTCTCTTCCGACAGGTTTGTTTTAATTTATAAATGGTATGGTAATTTGGAGACTTAGATTAAATATTAGATTTGTAAATATAAAAGCCTTAGAAGAGGTTCAGCATGGTGAGAAATAAGGCTCCTATGCTGTCAGGATGTAATCCCTTGAGAGTAACATTTTTTAACAGTGTCAATAAAGGTACATAAAGGTGTTAAAATTGTGTTTTAATTTTCTGTTTACAAACATGTTGCACATTTGAACTCTTTTAAAAGTCACTGTGGTAAAATAAGGTTCAACATTTTTTAATTCACTTTGATTTATTTTCTTGCTACAATCAAAAAAAAAAAAAAAGTAGAAAGAAAGATTTATATAAAGAGCTATGAAAACGTTAACACAGGAATACATGGCAATAAATTAACATGAGGTGAGCTCGCAAAACAATTGATTTCAGTACACCGTCCACGGCAAGCACAAATAGCCCCAATACTGTTCTTAAACATTTCAACAATGAAATGAGAGTTGAGCACAAGATGATTTTCAACCTGCATCAAAACATATGTTCAAGTGCCCGGGCCAAGTTCACGTAACATCACATTCAATTTAACATTACACTGCAGAGCATCTAAAAAGGATAAGGGCATTTCGGGCACACACCCAAATCTCGCTATCACTTCGAAGTTATTGCACTGGAATATCCATATCCATCTGGAATGTTAATAAATTTTAAAATCTAACAAAAAATACTTGAGCCTAAAAAGGAGGGTTTTGAAAAGCTCAAGTTACAAAATAGCGCAACATGGCAATTTCTTTAACTTCACATATAATCATATATTTTTCTGTGTACATATAATCTTTCCATCATATTTATACATATGTCTCAATTTCGTGCACATTTACTTGTAACTATACATATTTATATTCCTCCAGAGCAGAAGAGAATAGCATATTTACGAATTAATAGTTCCTAGACAGAATTCTGCATTTTGTCTTATCTACACATACAAGGCAATAGTTCCAAAGCATTCGATTACTTAGTTACCTGTATTTTGTCTCAGTACCTTGGGACAGTAATAAATTGCAATTTGAACACCTGATAGGCAACATCAAATATATTTAATCTCTTTTTAACCTTACATTTCATAAATCTTTGATACTCTACACAGTACGGAAATAGTTCCTGAATCTAATGTTTGATTTAAAAGTACAGATCCATATTTAGGACATGTACCAAGTATTGTCTCCAAACACACCTATCTTTTTACAAATTCCTAAGGCTATGTATGTACACACATCCGGGCACATTCACTACTTATAAAATAATTTGTATAATACAATAAATGCAAAGCAAACATAGTGTAAGAACAATCTGCTAGAGGTTCTTGCCACTGTCACTTCAGCATTTCACAAGCACGCATTTAATGTACATAAAAATCACTCAACCGGCAACATTCACCAACACATTCACACTATCACAATCTTGCATCTTTCACCCATGAGTATTTTGACAAGGAAACACGGCAATAGATGAGAAGCCAATATGGCATGCCAATAAGTTCATCACTATACAATGCAGGCAATAAGACTATTTGTGCAGTCACTAACATGATCTGAGGCCTATCAGTACAATTCATCAACTTCATATTTATTACCGAGCAATAAATTTAAAACATAACATTAAAAAAAAAAGCAACAACTTAAAAACGGTCCATTGATCAGACAGACCAAATAGAAACATGATTTACAGATATGTATCCATGTAGTTTACAAAAAACCCGTTGTCCGTGTAGTACCTTGGAAGAATTTTGGTTTATTGAAAACAAAAGGAACCAAATCAACAACAACAATAAAAATGAATAACAGCAATACCTAAATACTACATAAAAAGGACACTTAGCCTCCATAGGACAGACGATGCCTAGTTTACTTGGAGGGAGATAAGCACTCAGGCCATGAGAAGCAATGCTTAATCCATCCACAGCCAAATCAACCAATTTTCCAATTTGTCTTACAAGAAACAATTTCTGATAAAATTAACAATATATACAACATGGTGCCATTAGTTCCACTTGAAATCCTGAAACAAGAAAAACAAAACAATTTTTTTAAATAAGGAATCAGAAAATAAGAAGCAAAATTAAATACAATTATTACTTAATAAAAAGAAATTAGCTCTACATAAATAACTTTTTAAACCTTACAAAAAAAAAGAGAAATATTAGCCACTGTATTAGTCATGGGCAGGATAAAGCATAGACATGAATTAAGGAAGAAAACTTCCTGTTTTAATAAGGTAACTTGTAAAAGTACGATACAGATTCTCAAATTCAGAAGAAAGCATTGGCATTAACAGGAGAAAGAAGTTTGATATGTATGGAGAGTAAGGAAGAGTTATGGTTAGAGGCTCCATGATATCTGCCTCACTATGTGCTCTGCAAACTTGCCATGACCCCTCCTCAACAATGTTATCTACAGTATAACTTGTATTAACTACCACTTCATTAAAAATCCCACTCAAAATAAAGATATTTACTTTTACTTATCAACACAGCAGAAAAATAATTATCCAACCCTGAATTTCATTCTAATTTTCCTCCTGACTTAAGACGTGGCACCATCACAAAAAAAGAGTGTTGATTGGAATTAACATCCTCCTAAAAGCGATTACACCCGAACACCGCACAGAGTGCAAGAGAAGGCCGGAGATGTACCTAGAGAGTGCATAAGGCTGCGTGCCGTGAGGGAAGCTCCTCACAGGGCTCCGAACGGATCCAGCGTCTGAGGTTGTGCCGGCTGAGCTGCCGCCGCCGGCTGTGCAGGGACTGCCATGCTACCGCCACCAGCACCCCCACCCATCACGGGCTGCACGGGCCGCATGGGGGCCATGCCCGGGGCCATGCCCTGCACCGGCACCATGCCGGGGGCCATGCCCTGCTGCAGGAGGGAGAAGGAAAGAGAGCAGAACGGCACGGGTAAGAAAGTAGCTCAGGAGAAAGGACAGAGACAAAGGGACAGGAGGCTGCGACGGATCTACACGGAGTAGATCATCAAGGGCTCAGATAAAATTGAACTTGGGTCTGTTGTGTCGTATAAATTCAAAATTAGACAGGGCCAAATTATAACTTGTGGCTATTTAGACTTAATTTGAAGACATTTAGCAAAAAGAGATCTGAACACATTCCATTTTTTTTTCTTTTTCAAATCTTAGGTTGTGGTCACGAATTAATGTGAAAAGATGTGGACACCTCTTCTTTGTGCCCTCTGGTAAAGCTGCACAAGACATGGAATACAGGATATCAAAATGTAACGGAGCCCATTAACACGTTTAATGTGAATTGCCTCGCAGCACTAAACTGAGTGTGTGGCCCAAATTCCATCTTCATTCCAAGGCTTGTGAAGTGTCTCCTTATAACTACACCGGTGTAGTCACAAATTTATTGCAACCAGCACCAAAATTAGACAGAAACATAAGAAAACACCGGTTTAGTGCAAGGTTTTGCACTGAAGAGTTCGAGAAGCAGCATATAGCAAGTTAAGTACAATAGATATATACACACAATATAAAATAGATATAAATACAAAAATTAGGTTTGTTCTGCAATTTATGGGCTTCATGAATAGGAGAGCAAAGTCCAAACAGCATTGAGCATTGTTGAAAAGCATGTTATATACAGTGAAAACTAATTTGAGTCAAATTAGTGTGCTCAAGGAAAACTAAAACCAAGAATTCATACAGAGAGCAATTGTTTCTACATACAGAAGTTGCAAAACCTCCTATTTTAGAGTACTATAGATATATTCAGGCAGTACCCTAAATAAGTACGGAACTGTCAATATCTAACTTGCTCCAAATCAAACAAAGCATTCAGATAGTCTGGATTAATTTGGCTCGGCAATTAAGAAATATATAAGATTAGGTTTACTCCTCTGACAAGTTGCCCAATCCTCTAACTTGAGTTTTGCAGAAGCGGGCAGTACTTACCATTGATTGCATGGCAGGGAACTGAGTAGGCATAGTCATATCCATATTCATTCCCATATGAAAATTCATTGATGAAGCCATTCCTTGCCCCTGAAACAGCAACCAGCTCATCATGCAGGATGCCGCTTGAAAGAGGAGCAGCACTACCGTAACTACAATTGCTTTAATGACAAAGTACAAAATATCTTAGATAATGGGACCTAAGTGATTTAACTGTTGGAAAAACAAAAATGCCAACTTAAGCACGGAGAATCTGAATAATTGATTTCAATCATACAAACTACCATGGCTGCAAAGAGCTGTCAATGTTCAAATGCTGCTAATTTCACTATAACTGTGCAATGTACTACACTTTTGACATATTGCATGCACATGAACCACTACAGAAAGAGTGAATTTTCCAACCCAAGATGATGCTTCAAAATTTGAGTTGTAACAAATATTTCCCAAATATAATACAGAACACCATGCTCTTTCATTAACGTATGGAAAATTGAGAAAAGATTTATAAAACACCTTGAAAGCAGATAAGATATCTGCTCTCGCATCTGCATTAAATAACTAGAAAATAGAGAAGTGATAGAGTGGTCACACCAGTGAAGGGAAGATTTTATAAAGCTGCCGTGTTTTGCATCAACTATTATACCCCAAAACCGAAATTAAGAAAAAAGTGCAATTCCACACTCATTCAATCATTGTGATGTGAAAATTGTTTGTCATTAATTGGCATTTGCTCACTTGTATGGCCATATAGAAACAAGGCACAAACTACAACCTCACTTAAAAGATTTAAATTTCTAACTGCTTACCATTGGCCTATAGTTGGCACCAGTTGTTGCAGCCATAGGTTGAGGAGTCCATCCACCAGCTACACCGCCAGCCTTAGCAGTATTTTTCGGTGAATTCCACTGGACACCCCTGAAATGGTTGAAATGCTTGCAAATGAGTGTGAATGAGAAAAGTTGAATGAAATACTTGCATGAGTTGGCAAAACTCACTTGACGTTCTGTTGTGCACCCTTGTTCATGGACAGGTTTTCCGCAAGCGATGCCAGACTGGAATCCAGGTCTCCGGTTAAAACCTTGCCAGGCCCCGTCTGCGCCGCGGTCCCGCCTGCTGCTGAAAGGGCCAGAGATGAACCCCCAGCCGGCTGTAGCACTTCTCCTAGAGCGTCAAACACGGAGCCTGCCCGACACCAAGCCAGCAAAAGCAGCCAAATAAGCATACAGACCATGCAAAACAATGCGGAATACACTTAGTACCCTCAGCAAACATTTAAAATTAAATAATTCAAGCTGTACACAGCAATAGAGCACATTACAAGTGACCGACTATTCAAAGACTAAAAATTAACAAATCCCCCTTTATAAAGATAACAGTATGAAGTACTCAACAGTTTAGCATAAGCATTAAACAAAAATCTAAAAACTAGAGATAAAGTGATGCTTGTACAGCTAAGCTCCTTTACAATCGCCTACAGAATCACTAGTCCATGTGGAATATGAAGAATTGAGTGCAGTCTATTGCTAACGTTTGTTGTGAGTTAGAAGACCATTGCAAACGAAGTCAGTAATGAAATTGAGAAAATTAAGGGAAATAAAACCAGAGTGAGCACACATCCCAAACACACACAGCCTATTCTGGTAGTAAAACGTGCAACCCCAGAGCCATTTCCCTTCAATTCTCGCTTTTAAATGGATATGTTGAACAGGAAGTTGATCATAATTAGGGACCAGCAGGGACAGTGAGGTGCAACATAACTAAAACTTACAGCTTTTGGCTAGAAAATTGCACATTACAGGTTACATGTAATATTGTCATATATGTCAGTGCCAGAGAGCTATACTTTGCTAGCAATTCGATCTAATCATAGAAGCAAGCCACATTTCGTTTCATTCTTTTCATAAAATATCACCTGCCGCCGCCATGGCGGGCTGCTTAGCCGGTGATCCGAGCCCCGCCAGTCCCGCCCCCGGCGGGGGGAACTGCGGCCCAGCCAACACCCCGGGGCCCACGGCCGCCACGGGGGCCGCTGGCGCCTGGGCTGCCATGGGCCCTGTCTGCTTGGCAGGGGAGCCGAGCGCAGCGCGGATGCTGTCATTCAGGTCGTCAAAGGCCGACTTGCTGGCGCGTCGCGCGGGGGAGTTGGTCTGGGACACACTTGGACTATCGGCGACCCCCGGCAGCGGCGGCCGCGCCGGCGAGCCGTGAGGCTGGGCCGCACCGAACAGGTCACCGCCGAACATGTCGGCTGCTACAGGGGCGGAGGCCGGGGCCCGGGCCGGGGAGGGGGCGCCCCCCATGCCCTCGTAGGGGTTGGGAATCCCAGCAGCCGCACTAGTTACACTACCTCCTCCCATCATAGTTGTAGTAGCAGCTTGCGCAGAAAGACACACATTTTTGTTACAACGCTTTGTGCAACTTTAAGCAGCCAGTGTTACGTTGGCCACCGACCATCCCAAAATAAGGCAAAGGCACATCTGTTCCAAGCTTCAACCACACACAGCCACTCGTCAGATGAACTCTCATAGAAAATGTTCACTTTGTCTGCATCTTGCACCAATTTTCAAAAATACTGGGCAAGGCTTTTAGAGAGATGATACACTTAATGCCGATTGCACAATAATTATAAACTAAAGAGGTAACAGATGCAATGTGCCCCTATCCACTAATTTAAAATTCAACTCCCTAATTATCAACACATCCATTCCTTCCCCAAATAGAGAGGGGAAAAAATTACTAGGCCAAAGCATTAAAATTTTAGTTCTGAACAATTTTCATGCACATGAAAATAAAAGAAAGCTCTTCCCCATTTTTTCCCCCATCAGAAAAAGCAAAATAAAGAAGTTGAAGTGGTTCAAAAATTAAAATGTGCATTACAATACACTGAAAAATATGTATCTACAAAGAAATGACAGGTGAAGGATGCAAAAATTAAAAATTATTCAAAAGAGAACTACTATTTTGAAACAAAATTAATATTACAGGTAATACTGTAGCAGTTGGATACACATTGCTCGTTTAAGAAAACTTAAAAATACAACTAATCTAGAGTAGTCTTGTATCAGACAGAAATTATTCATTCTTCAAATTGAAGGACATGTTAAAATCATTTTGGCTTGGCTCAAAGATACCCAAAGCAAATGGTGGGGTAGCGGGTAAGGAAGGAAGTGAGTGCTGACAATAGGATTGACAAATGAGGATAATCGCACATGACAGGGAAAGGATATTGTGAGATTACTGTAGAGACTAGCTTTTCCCTCGCAGAAAAAGAATTAGAAAACTTGAATCAACTTAACGTTAGGAGGTATTAAGTGCTCATTAAGTTATGCAATAAATTTAAGTGAAACAAAATTCAGGTTCTTTAGAAGTAAGAAATCAGTACTTTGACTTACCATTACTTGCAGGCTCTGAGTCACCAAAGATAGCAAAAGCATTGTTTGATGTAGGGGCAGGGGCAACACCACCAGCAAATCCTGACGGACACATTTTAGTTTGGTGAAACAACAGTTTCAATCAGCCTAATACCTAGAAAGAATGAATACATACCATTGGTCATCCAGGAGTTGACACCAGGTACTGCAGTTGGGGCGGCAGCTGGCGCGGGGGCAGTTCCAAACATATCCGCGAATGGGTTCCCACTCAGCTGAAGGAGATCATCTGATGCTTTGGAGGACTGCTGTTGCTTTAAAGGGGAGTAAGACAAGTTTTGGATATCAAAATGTTTGCATCAGATAAACACATTTTTTTTTTTTTTTTGTAAATGCTTACTTGCATGCCGCCAATATCAACTGGAGCAAAGAGGTCCACTGAGCTTGAGATTGTAGGTGAAGATAGGAAAGGGTTTGTACTGGCCGCAGCAGTAGGGGAAGAAACTTTAGCCTGAAGAGAGACCATTAAGTTAAAACTGATAAATCAGCTCTAAGGGTCATGAATAAACAAGTATAAATGTTTCAACTAACTTTGTATTGGTTCATTGCTGCCTCCTCCTCTGCTAAAACTTGCCGTCGCAGAGCCTCATCGATTTGTCCTCCGTGCTCATCCAATCTCGCACTGCTCGCTGCTGTTCCAAATGCACTGCTAGTGGAAGACAGGGCGGACACCCCGGACTTAACATTCGTTCTGTTGCTGCAGAGTTGTCGTGCCGTGCCAGAGTGGAGGAGAGTGATAGAGGTAGGAAGAGAAGACAGAAGGAGAGGTGTGGGAACGAGGATGGGATCAACAGAGTCAATTGAAAGATTTTAAAAATGTGTTAATGAAGCAAAGGTTGGAGAGGAGTTATCAAGTTAAAAGAAGTGAGGGATTTAAGAAAAAACAAACAAACAAAAACAAAATGAATAACCTAGTTAAAACGGAATACAAAATAAAAATCACAATTAACTGAAGATCTATAAGAGTTCGTCAACTTCATAGTTAAGTTGAGAAGAACTGAGAAAGCATGAGATTAGTACAATGTTAAAATTTTGTACTTAATACGGAACATTAAAAAAATGTTGGCTGTCATGCAAGAAGATGCTTAGATGAATTTTAGGCTTCTCATGCAAGAAAGAAAAAAAAGAGACAATGACGTGGCAGTAAATCTTGCAGTCAGCAAGATGACTGGAACACTCAGAATGTGTTTTGGTGTTTTGGTAAGATATTTAGACAATATCATGCATGATTTAAAAAAAACAGAAAAGAATAGGAAAAAGGAAAGGAAAGAAACCTCTTCGGAGGTAGAGGGAACTGGAGCACAAGCAGCGACCACACCACAGCAATTTGCAACCAAAAAACTCTACATATAGAATGAAACCATGAGTAAAATGACTGACTCATTGAGTAGACAAGGTAGTCATTTAAATTTTAAGACACCAATTTTTATTTTCCTCATGTTGGACTGCTGGAAGCATATAGTCTGCTAGCAAAAGCATCAATGAGGAGGAGGTCCATAAATGCCCACAACCAGAGAGTGGAGACTTATAATATTCATGGTGTGCATGATTTAAAGTGAGACTGGTCAAACTAAATATGGAATATAATTGCTCTTACACCAGGTATAAATCAGGCAATATTGTCCCATTGGTATCATGCAAGCAGAAGGTTCCCATTCTAACCAAATACATGAAACATACAAACAAATGTAACCTGTCAAGTGAACATCATGATTAAACCAATTTACCTTGCAGATTGTGTAGGAGTGTTTGCCGCACTACCCTTCTTGCCTTCCAATGCATTAAGATGTTGTTCCAATGCATCTAGTAAGCTGCTGGGAGCTTTGGTTAAATCTGGTATGTCTCCTTTATCAATGCCCACGTTCTAAAAATGTAAAGGAAGGAGGGGGTTAGTAAGAAAATAAGCAAGTGCAATGGAGAAAATTTATAAACTAAAAACAAAATTTTAAAAACTTACCTCAGCTACTTTAAGGAACTCACCAACCCGGTCCATCCTTATAAGGAATTTTTTGTACAGGTCTAAAGCATCTCTGCATTGTTTCTTATTCATATCAAAGTATTTTTCTATGGGAGAAAACAGAAATTTGAATGTTTCTTACAGTATAAATGAGGCAAAATGTAGAGGAAACACTTACCAAGAAGATTTATAATTCCGTCATTGTAGCAAGCAAAAAGTCGTATGAGGTCACGGAAGAGAAGCATGAAGCACATATTAATAACACCATTGGTGAGGTCATTTGGCGAACAGTCAAATTCTAACAATGCATCCAACTGAGATTGAAGTACAGGCAATGTCTTTAGTAATTTCTCTGCGTTCATTGTGCGAAGTGTGCCATCTTCTTTCCTACAAAATTAAAAAAAAGGAAAATATTGGAAACAAGTTTAAAACAAATACTTTAAACAAAAAACACCACAAAGACCAACTTACCCTCGCTTGACTTTGCAAAAATCAAAGGCTACAGTTCGATATGACAACGCCTTTTCATTAAGGTATTTGGCATATCTCCTGATGAATGGAGACATATCATAACCTGATTCAAAGGAAACAAAACAGGTGATAAAAAGAAAATTAAAACACAATTTCTAAAATAAATTAAAATTATATGGTTATTCAGCATTTGAGATCCATTAGCTTTGCTGAATTGTTAGTGACCAAAGCAAATATTAGTGCTAAGAAAAGATCCCAATGTAATGTTATGAATGAAAAAGACCAAGAATTTCACCAGAACTTACCGACACGCGCTCCTGGCAGCAGAGAAGGGCCATAAAGAAACAATTAGCACAGTGTAGCTACAGAGAAAAGAACTAAAGATTCTGTTAAAAGTGAATTATAGTATAAAGCTAGGAAAGAAACCTAAGAGGAAGAAAAGAATGATAGAGACTTCCCACATCATCCTCATACATTTTCAACAGTATCCCTCCACCTCATTGCAGAGGGTGAAATCACTCGCGCACTAAAAGCGCTGTTACATCGTAATAAAAATTCGTAAGATTTATGATAAGGCAAGAACATTGTTTGCAAACGTGTAATAACCGGTACACTTTCCTCCGGAGTGATTTCCCCCTCGCTCACTCCTACACCAGATGAATGTTAGACAAGGGAGGAGATTAAAGCCAGAATACAAAGACTTACCTTGGACCCCACTTTTGTCTAAAAAGTTACTGAGTTGGAATGTGCTGTTGCTTGATGCTAAGTACTGGGTAAATCGCTGAAAGAGAAAACAAAGTGTTAAAACAGGCAAACGACAAAGAGCATTTTTAGGAGGGAAATCAGAACTTGAAGCACATAAAAACTTACCTCATTTCCATAACACATCATGTGATGTACAGTAATAAGGGCTTTATAAACCACCACCCAGTTGGCATTCTGTGAACGCTCGATGAGCAAGTTGGCCAGCGAGGGAATCGACACATTTGGCTCATTGGTGCAATGGATGAGATCTGAAAGAATGCAAAATACAGTGAAATTAAAAACAGTGAAATAACATTGATCATTCATGTTGTAAACAGTGCTGCCTGTTGACACACAGCAGGGCCGCCAGTAGGGGGTTGGAGGGGAGCCAAGGGGGAAGAAGGTATGCGCACGACAGTACAGAGTACAGAGGCGATGTACCGCGGCACAAATATAGATATTGCTTGTTTTGAAATACTGCTGCAGCAAGAGCAGCAACATTATCAGCCCGCATAGCCCACACGATTTGGTCGTTTTTATCTAGCATTAAAATGGAACTGTCCCACCCAACTTCCACTTGGTAGTTGCGCATAGGCTGCTGCAGAGGTGTAGCGGGGCAACAAACAACAGGTGATGCGGGCAGGATCACCCCATACTCTCCTTCTCATGTACCACAGACCGCCGTAAGCGGTGACCCCCTGGCACCCTGGCACCTCCCTGGCCGTGCTAGCGCCGCCGTCATCACGAGTACATGAGAGGGGAGGAGGGAGGGAACAACATCTCAATTCTCTCAGACGGCCGTGCGATTCAGGAGATCGTTCAAGAGGGGCTCTCCCTCTCCCCTCCCATACCCGCCCTGTGAGTGCAACAAGGACGGAGCTATACAGGAGGTATAGGAGAGCCCCTCTTGAACGATCTCCTAAATCGCACGGCAGGGCGAAACACCAGTGTCCCTAACGCACACGATGCTGCGTGGCGTAGCGACGCGTGGGGGTCAAGGACGGCGGGCGCCCCGCCCCGCCACCGCAGACCTGGCGGCGGAGAGCCATCGACCCGAGCCGAGCTGTGCGGCAGTGGCGGCGGGCGGGAACTTCCCCGCTCTTCCACCGAAAGGAACGCCACAAATAATAAATATCCGAGACGTCCAAAAGTATCTCTGGTCTGAAGCAGCGGAATCAGGCGGCGCCCGTCGAGGTCCGGGTAGACCACTAGGGATCGTCCAGAAAGTACGTCCGTTTCTCTCAGATTCATTCGGCAAAATACGGGAGGTCCGCGCCTGCGAGGCACCAGGTAGGCCACCCCGCAGTACACGCCTGCACTGTAGGCTGGATGTTGCCTACTGATCAGGCGCTATGGAACCTTGCATAGCCTGACCTTGGCATGTTCGTAACGGCGATTGACGGACGTAGTTTCTGGATGATCCCCTAGCCGCGCGGGGCTGCCCACCCTCACGGGCGCCCGTCGAGAGGCTGCGAAGTGTTGCTCGAGCTAAGCAAACGGAGGTTTCGTAGTCTACAAAGCACGCTAGGCAGCCTGC